TCTTATTTGATATTTGATTCAAATTTATATTTATGGCCAATGAGAAAGTTTCTAAGGTAGCACACTCAAACTGACCTTTAGGAAATCTTAAAAACAATCTGAAAATTGGAGTAAATGATGAAACTCTGGGACAGTGTTAGGTACTGAATTTTATTCAATTGTTTTGAATCCACTTTGAATTCTATCAGGAATGGAATAAATGAAGTGGGGAAGGGCAAAATGGAAAGCAGCACAGGACAAAGGCATCTTGTTTGGGGATATGGCTTCAATTAAGGTAAATAATAAGAGGACAGGAAAGGAAAGTGAAGAATACAGGTCATGTTAAGATTATTTTCCTTAAAGGACACAATGGCCTGTTTGACTTCACTCAAGTTGCAAAGTTCTTATCTCACACCATACTGTTCTGGCTTCAGGTAACAAAAATGAAAATTGAACTAGCTTGTTGAAAGGGGGCATATGAAGAAATCACAGGAAGAGCTTGAATTCTGTACAGGCCCATTTGGGCTTTTGTTACATTTAAATAGCCATATCATTCTTTCTCACTATGGTCTGGCCATCCCTACTGGAAGGAAACATAGATAGGCCAGTTCTGGAATTGTAAATCTCAAAAGCTACCAGTGAAGATTTAGTATGAACTATTTCTTTCTGAGGCACAAAAATCTCATAGAAGGGACTCAGTGCAAGTGAACAAATCTCATCCAATCGATAGTGACCCAGGCATTTTGATTTGTCTAACTTGGTTCAACATGGAGGTATTTATATTTTAAAAATGAGGAACTAAGGGAAAGGTAGTTCAGAGAAAAGGGGTACAAAGTAAATACTTCCAGTAGTCATTTTTGGTTTGCTAATTAATGTATTGGGTTACTCAATTTTTTTTTCAGCTTTCAAGTAACAGTACCACATTTTAGATAGTTGATAAGGTTTTATAAGGCTACATAGGGCCAGTTTACGTCTATGATAGAGTCCTTGTCTAGCAAGCACTAGGCCCTGAGTTCAAACCCTAGTACCATTAAAAAACCAACCAAACAAAAAAACCAAATCAAAACTAAAATAAACAAAATCATGGGAAAATGAAGAAATACAGAGATCCATCTCAGCATTTGGCAATCCAGTTAATGTGTCCTCCTTTAATAAAGGTGGTGTTCCTTTATTAAGGTGACTCAGTTGACATCGGAAGTCAATGAGATTAGACACAGAAAGATCTAATTCTTGAATCTAGCCGATTTTCTTTCCTTCTGGCTTACTCACACAGTGTGCTACCTTCCTGTCTACATGTCTAGATTCATACTCAAAATATTTGAGCTAGACTCTTACTAAGTAAATCAGTCACATCAAATATGGGGTAACTTTACTAGTGACAGCTTTTATGTCAATTCATTTTATAGGCTGCTGGCCAATACCCATCTTTGGCCAGGTCCAAATCATTTTTCAATCAGTTAGACTCAGGAAAATGGAGTCAAGGCAGATTGAACTGAGAATTAGAAGCAATTTTGGGGTGTTTTAGGTAATTTAAGTGGTGGGACCATGTATGGGCTAGCTACAGTACACAAAAATATATGATACATGGTTTTTATACCTATGTATATTAATTTAAAGTCCTTTTTTGCCAAGAAATATTCTAGGAAGTATGGATGTGAGTGAGTATACAGAGAGTTCCTGTTATAGAGAAGCTGCAAAATCAGTGTGGGAGTGAAAACTAGTACAGTGGACACAACTAGAAAAAATCCTAGATATTCAGACCATTTAATTTTTTCTCACAACTGAAGCTAAACACAAAGTTCCTTTCTTAGCCTTTGCAAAATGATTGGCATCAGAATCCAGACTTTAAAAAATATGGAAGCTTACATCCCCCCTCAAAAAACCCCAAACCAGTTTGTTTTTGTCACTTAAATAGTTATTATAGGTACAAAATGTAGGTTGTAAAAATATTAGTGGCTGAGGAAGACAAGGAAAGGGGATTGAGAAGAGATTGAGTGAAAAAAAAAATCAGAGGGAGAGGGTGATATAGAAACAAAGATAATCCCCAAGATCTGTGTACAGTTCTGCCATTAGTCACATTGTACATTCTGGCCAAGTCACCATCATCTGCTCTGGCCCTAGGCTGCTTCTAGGTGAAAGAGCATTCTCAGGTTCTTTGGGCTCCACTGGGCCTGTTACTTGCTGTGGGTCTAAGAAAGGGAAGGCTTCAGGTCCCAGGCTTTTGCTGCTCCTATCTGTTCTCAGCTCCATGGAACTTCTTAAGGGACAGGGTTATAGACTAAAGATGTGGGAGACCAGGGTAAGGTCTCAAATGATGACTGGGGAGGCAGTATGGTTTGGTTGTTATACTCCCTTGACACTTTTTATTTATATATTTGTTACTTCTAGAGAAACCAAATAAAGAAAAGAATTCATACATAAATGGCTGTGCAGACAGCAAACCAGTAACTTACTACTCCCAGAAGGTTCTACCCCTGCTTAGAGTACACTTTCAGAAGTGTAAAAGACGAGGGATATGAAGATGGAAACGTTGCTGGCCCAGGATATCATAGATCCAGAAGAGCTCAGAGACTCCCATAGCTAGCAATGACCTGGGGAGTGTAAACTTGCAGAGTGACAAGGACTGAGTCTAAAACTGTCTCTGCTATCCAATAAGCATGATGACTTGAGGTCGTTTATAACATGGCCTCCTGAAATTCTTTCAGAATCAACAGTTCAGGCTTGAGACAATATCCATAAAATCTAAAAATCAAAGGATGTGACTCTACAAATACGGATTTTTTTGTCTGGCTCAGAGTCTGTCGATTTGGAATGATTACACTCCACTATCTTATCTGCAGAGGCTACCAGTGTATACTGTACCCACTTTTAAAGTATTTTATAAGTGTGGAGCCTGACAAGGGTGGAGATGGGAGAGACCATTTTGCTAAGCAACATTAACTTTCCTTCTTTTTCTAGGGAGAGTACTGTCCGTGGACTAGCACCTAGGGGCAATGGATAAAATGGTGATTTTCTTGTGTCAAAAAATTTGTTCTACAAACATCCCTCCCGTGGTTTGTCTGCTCCTCAGGCCAGCTGTCCCGGGCCTCTGCCAGGGCGGGAAGGGGAGTGTTGCAGTGCGTGGTCACGGGTGAGTCCTTTAAATCCAGCTTCTCTAGCCCCCAACATCCAACTCCCTCTCACTGACAGGTGTTTTCCCAACTCCGGAGGCCAAGGATTTTGGGGAGTGGCTGAGCCAATAAGATTTCCCTTTGGGGGGCGGGCGTGGCTAGTTGGGTCAGAGCGGGGCGGGGTTTGCGCGGCTGTGGAGAGCCTGCCTGGTTGCGTGGAGGGTTGTTTTATTCCCACCCCCACCACCCCCCTCTTTTTTCCGGAGTCTTATTAATTTCTCTGTGGGGCTGCAGCTGGAGACCGCGGAGCGTTGGAAATGACGCTCGGAGCTTTAATTACCGCAGCCGCTGGACAAGTGTGAGGAAAGCTGACAGAAAAAAGCACAGGATCCGGGAGAAGCAAGACGCTCCCCCCACCCCATCCCCCGTCCCTCCCATCCCTCCCGATTTGGACAGGAGGTGCAAGGAAACTGAACAGGGAGCCGAACATAGCCCGGCTTGGGGGAGAGGCCGGAACGGTACCGCCTCTTTGCAATCAACTTTTTTTGGAAACCTTTTTCCCCCTTCCTTTTTATTGTTGACCAACCAGTGAGAGAGACAGCGAGAGGGAGAGAGAGAAAGTGAAGAGGGAGCGAGCAAGCAAAAGCTCAGAAGGGGAAATAGCTGCACAGTCCGGCCCGGAGCCCCAAGCGCACACACTCGAGCACTCTCCCACACGCGCATACACGCGCGCACTCTCACCCCTCCTCCAGTCCCCAGCCCCGGACCCGCGGGCGCGGACTCGGTCGCTCGCCCTGGGAGTCGGTGCGCCGCGCGCGCCGCGCCAGCCCCCCTCGCGCCTCCACGCGCGCCTGGCTGGGGGATCTCCTCCGCGTGCCGGAAAGGGGATATGCCATTTGGACATGTAATTGTCAGCACGGGATCTGAGACTTCCAAAAAATGAAGCTGGCGACAGGACTGTGGTTCTGGGTGAGCCTTCTCGTGGTGGCGGGGACTGTCCAGCCCACTGCTTCTCAGTCAGGTGGGTCGCGCGGTTCCTTCTTGCACTCCAGGCTGTTGAGCTTGCTGCCGCTTCGGTGGCTCCTCGCCCCTTTGCCCATTGGGATGCCCGCTCGTTCCCAGACGCGGGGGAATCTTTAGACCCTGGCTTCTGGCTTGGGTTGTTTTGGTCCCCACTTTCTCCATCCCAAACTTACCTTGTGTATGTGTGTGAGTGTGTTTTATTTATCGTCAAAATTACTCTGCACTCCTGTCCTTTTAATTTTCATTTTCTCTCTCCTTAACCCCTCTTCATTCTTTCTCGCGCGTTTTCTGTGAGCCTAAGCGGGATCGCTTCTGGTCGCGCCTGTTATTCCCGACACTGGACATCCAAATCCCTAGTCGGAGGGCACTCCAGTCTCTCTGTCTGGGTTCTAGAGAAAAGAAACCTCAGAAAAGCGTGCAACCCCCGGCCACGAAAAGGTACCGAGGCTGTGTCCGCTGGGCCTTTCCTGAGCGGAGGGCCCGGCTTTGCACCTGCGTGTGCTGCCCGCGGCCGCTGCGCCTTCAGTCGCCCGAACCCGGCGGGGTGAGACACACCAGCCCAGTCCGGGCAACTGGAGCGCAGCGGGCGGGCGCGCCTCGGCCTGGGGCCCGGAACTCGGGGCCTCCTCGGCTGGCGTCCCGGAGCTCTCGTCCGATTGACTTGAGGGGCGTTTGCTGGCCTTCCTGACCTCTTTAAAAAAAACAAAAAACCCCCGAAAAATAGGGCTTGGCACACTCCGGCCTTCCGTCGGTTGCTGTGTTTGGCTCGGGGAAGTGTTCTTCCTGTAGTTCAACTTGCTATTGGCCGGAGTCCCTCCAACTTCTCTGTTTACTGCGTAGCCTGCCGATCGCGCGAATTGATTTAACCCGAGTCGGGCGCGGCGGCGGTGCTCGGTGCTTGGCCACTGTTTGCTGGAGAGTTTGAGCCGCAGGTATTTGGACAGGCACGGGGCTAATTGACCCCGAGAGGCAGTGCAGATGGGCTGGCGTGCCGGGGCGGGCAGGGCTAATGACACTACCTACGGGGAGAGGGAGCTCAAAGTTTCTGACACTGACTTTCCAGGGATGACAGTGGGATAGGAAAGGACTGAGGAGAGCCGGTGTCTGATGCGGCCATTGGGGCTTTTGGGAGACCCAGGGACATTTCCGGAACCATCCGGGATTGGAGGCAGGAGCGTGGGAGGCAGTAAGGGAGATAAAGGCTCCAGGAGTGGCTACAGGGAGAGCTTTAGGCCCCGGGAGGGTGTCCTTCTGACCTCACCAAGAAAACAGCGCGCGTTAGTTTTCCCGCTCCGCCCCCGCCGCTGCTGCCGCCACCGCCTCCCCCTCCATGCCTAGTAAATAACAAGTTACAATCCCTGAGTCTTTCAAAATGACCTTCGAATGGCACATGTGCGCCATTTGTGCTGGCCCTTTGCACCCTGCCAATTACTCCAAAATTCTTCATGCATACCAGGTCCCACGCTCCAGCCACCTCAGGAATCACACCAACACGCATTTGAGATTCCAAGCGGCCTCTTGGATACATCCCTTTTTTTCTGCCTTCCCACTCCGAGTCCCTTCATATTTCCTCTAAATGGGTTGATTATGCACATTGACCCATTCAAAAACACTTGCTACTGACACGCAGGTTTAGGCGAGAGGAATTTCTACGAGGTGACCTACTGGGGGCTGTCTGGTTCAGTCTTTGCCGCTGGGGGACCCCGCTCCGAGTCCGCAGCAATTTGGTATTAACTGTGTGGCTCCCCGGTTGAGCCATGCCGAAAAGCCCTTTTCAGAATTTCTGCAAGGAATGTAATCCAAATTAGTTCTGCAGCTGTCCTCTTCCTCGTCTCAGGCGACACCAGTTTGTGCCCTCGCTCCTCTCTTCTCCTTTCCCTGGGCGAATTGTCAGACCCACAAGTGAGCCCATTTAGAGCGCCAGGATTAGCATGCCATTGTTGTTCCGTGTGTGACTCTGTACTTGAAATTCTGGGGGCACAAAAGCGAGCCTCACTTGTTCAAAACACAAAGTAATCTAGATGAAAGAGCCGCACAAAGAAAAGCTCTCGGGTGCATCCCTGGTATAATTGCAACACGCATACTAAGGTGATGCATTGGAAACTGTAAATGCCCCCCGGGGACTTCTTTTCTCATCCTCCTCCACCACACCTGGCAGGGAAAGTTCAGCTGGTTTTAATGTAGTGCTGTTATAAAAACAAGTTAGTGGATGGGGTGTGAGTTGGACTGTGTGTGTTGGTGGCTGTGCATGTGTGTGGCTGTGTTTCCAAGTAAATACATACTGCGCGTCTCCCCTCTCGCGGTTAGCAGTCAGTAGCAGTTTGGAGGAGTTTGTTTTGGTCCAAATGAGAAATTAAGTGCAGATAAGTAAACTAAGCTGCCAGAGGGCGACAAGATGTTGAGTGAATTGCTTTTAGATGAAACAAATTAAGGAAACGAGGGAAGACAATCTGCTTCTCGCATTATTAGACACGCTTGGAGTTCAGGGGAAAGTGGCATATTTTTGAAATGCTAATTTCTTAAGACGCAGAAGGAATGCACCTTATTTACTGCTCTATGTGAACGGAATAAAAACATCGGGTGGGGGATTCTATGCATAGCTCTTTAGGATTTTTTTTTAGAAAAATTGTAACGAAAGAAGACCCCCCTGTTTTTTGTTTTGTTTTGTTTTTTTGCCTTTGCTTGGGAAAGTCAGCTTTAGAGAACAGGATATTATAGTGATTCTGAAAGACTTGTCTCATTTCCAGTTATTAATTTTAGCTAGAACTATTACAGCCAAAGGCCATAATATTTGGCAATTAGAAAGCTTTTACCACCAAAAGAATAATTATAAAATTTCTATCTTCTTTGTAGGGTGCAAAAATTATCACTGTTTCCTTTGTATTGAAATAAAATATATAGTAGTATTGACGTGGAACTCTTACAAACGTATTATGTGGTGAGCAAGTTCAGTTCCCATTTCTTTTGTTTATTTTTTCCCAGAATGGTACTCCTTTTCATTTTATAAAAGTACGTACATCTTTCCTATATATTTAAGTTATATCATTATATCTCCAAACTTAGGTTTTATTTTTTTACATTTGTGAGGAAAATATAATAAAACTTAGTTAAATGGCAAAAATGATGAAAAATATGTTTTTGAAACAGCAGCAATCCTCTTTTTTACATGTATTTACTGTAAGCACACCCATTGGTATACAGTTCTTTTATTGTTCTTTTAATTTTGAAATTCATATATGTATGAGAATTTTGTAGAAAAATGCACTTTTCCCTTCAGAATAATTCTAAATAAATTAGTACCCATTACTATAGCTGCAAATTAGTTGAAAACACTATAACTTTGTGCTTTTGTGACAAAATGGAATCATTGTGGTTGTGTCATGATTCCTTGTTTATTTTTCCTGTTAAACTCAACTGACTTAATTTTAATCACGCATGCATAGAAAGTCAAATTTCTTGGAAATCAAGGCACTTACAGCTTTATATATATTTTCATTTAGTCACTGGAAATGTGTCTTAATTAAGAAATTGCATTAGAATATTTACTGGAGCATGTACTTCATGGAAGATTTATGTATTTTTTTATTCTAACCCAAACACAGTAAGTTTCATTGGCTGATTTTTAGAGTTTGTATTCATTTGATAAAAAATCATATTTCCATCTCGAAGTGGATTCAGATATTTAGTATTCATGAGCTTTCATCCCTTTGGTTCTTAAATATAAGTACTATTTATCATCTGTCTTATGTACTTTCTCTTTCCATTACTATAGATTCTTTACGTCTTATTATTTATGGAGTTTACACTTGTGAATATATATGTGAATATTTATGTATATGTATGTATTTCCATTCCATCACTAAGTGCATTCATATTTCGTGTCTTTCCTAGCAACCTGCCACTCAGCCACTGCAGGAGTCTCCTGAGCCCGTTTTCATTCTTTCTGATAAATCTGATATGCTGGTTGGCTGAACAATTGCAAGCCATTCCATTGCTCAGATTTATTTCTGAAAGAAAATAAAACTGCATCGATCCAAGATCACTAGCACATCTCAAAAGCCCTGACTCCAAGGCCAAATTTTTCTGCAGAGAAGTCTCTTTCTTTTTCCTTTCCCCTCTTGACCAAGGAAAGAAGGTAGACTACTGCCATTTAACAAAAGGGAGTGTTGCAAGAAATTGTGCTCTTTCTCAGTATTCTCTGAAGCTTGATGATTAGAGCCACTTTGAGACAAATGACTACAGAAAGTGCACATTTTACACAATAAATTGAATTAAGATGTCTTAAACATTACAGTGCTTTGAAGTGATCTCATTTCCCATTATGTCAAATTAGTAATTAAGGAAATTTAACATGTATTTTTTAAAATGACAGTAAGTTTTGACTCTGCAGTGTTCTGCTGCTGTTGGACATGCACGTGTGGTTTGTAAGTATCTAAGACAAAAATGAAGCAAATGATCAAAAAGGATGTTCTGACCTGCAAACTTGTGGGTATTTACTCTAATTTCACTCTTTTGAGTGCAAGTTACTGCTTTATAGAGATGCTAGTATTTATGTTGAAATTAGCTTGTACATGGCTACAGCTATTCTACTAGAAGTGTCAAGAATATTCCACTGTTAACTTTTACAGTTATTTACTGAATGTGCTATACAGAGCAGAAATTTAACATATACCAACTTTTCTTTAGGTAATATCATTTTAGAGATGTTCTATTATATTAACATTTCAGTATATGGAACTAAATTGCTTCTTTTATCTCATTCTTATTTTCTGAAGTATTATTAGTCAGAATAACACTGTTTCATGATTAGTAGTAGAGCTATTGAATGGAGCTTATAGTTCATAATGAAGAAAAACCTTGATTTTTCCATTTACTTATTTTAAATAAAAATGATAGATCAATTCTTGAAGCTACATCTCTTCTAAGTAGTTGGAAGGAGAACTTAACTGCCTATCTTGTGATAAAGGGCAACACAGGCCATAGCCCTGTGGTTTACATCAGAATTTGTACATTCTAGGGACAGTTCTTCTGGTGTCTTCTTAAGATCTGGAAAGACGCTCTTCTATCTCTTTGTGACTTGGCTTGTCTGCCTGGGGGGCAAGTGCATATAATGTACTCTCCTATTTCTCCAATGGATAGCAGGCTTTCAGAAAAAAAAAAAAACAAACTGTAATCTTCTGTGACAATGAGATATATTAAAATAACCAGTTAATTATTTTTGTACATTTAATTAGATGTATTTGAGTTACACATGTAATTTCAAATGTATGTTAATAAACATGATGTAAACTTTCTGGCAGGACATCTTTTTCAGTAATGCACCTGTTAAAAGAAATAAAGAGATCTTAACTCTACAGTATTTATACTTGAAGGCCATTCCCACAAATACCACGTTTTGGAATTGCTCTATGATCTCTCCAAATTTAATTGCACATGTTCTTTTTTTTCTGAAATTTTTTTTTCTGAAATGTTTTATTTAATAAAGTGATCTGTTTTTCCATACTTTAATAAAAAGCTTTACAGTCACATTCTTGTCTTCATATTTAAATCAGTGTTTCCTAGTTTAAGAGAAAAAGACATCTATCTCACTTTTTTAATGTAAATTTAAAATATGTGGATGTTTTGGGGCCTAATTCTAAAGAGTTTTTTATAAGCGTGTAGTAATTGTTTCATAGTTATTTTTCTTTTTGACTAAGTGATTGTTCTATAGGCCTAGAATTTTGCACAACTCCAGGGGGCAACAGCTACATGGAACTTGATAGGAATGGTGCACACCTGCACAGAGGTTAGGGCAGCAGCAGCCTTGCTGTCCTGTGATTCTACAGAATAAGACACTAAAATTAAATTTAGGAGATTAGGGTTCTGTATAGTCACTTGCTATGTGATTTGGGGGGAGACTTCTTGCCTCTGTGTCTCAATTTGCAGATCTCCA